TACATATACATATTTTCATACATATTTTGAGGTTTTTTTTATATACACATATTTTCCTATATATTCTAGCCTTTTCCTAAGTTAAAGTTTTGTCAAAATTATATGTTCATGATAATGGTGTTCAAGTCATATGAACGACTATCAAATCGAGTTTGCCATATTTTCAAGCCGAAAATTACCCCTGAAAATCTCTAATTATAACTAAAGTTGCATTATGGGTCATTAGATGAAGATTAAAAATAAATATTTAATAATTCGTTGATAAGAGTGTTAAAAATTTGAAAGGTCTGGAAAATTACATATAAATACAGTAGAAAATTTCAATTGAAAAATATGTCCTATGTGCATATTTTTGTGTTTTTTAAGCACATATTACATAAATATTTTGAGGAATTTAATTACATACATATCCGCCCTTTGATTATGACATAACGTAATTTAAGAACGTCCTCCAAATAGCACTATTTCAAGTAAATCATTTAAAATCCAATCCAGAGGGAACTTTACTTCTTATCAAGTCAACCGCTTTCCTTATAATTGAGAATTGAAACAACATATTTAGTTGTCAAAAGTGTCCCATAATTTTTAACGGTGCTCCGTTGCCCTAAATTAAACCAGGATGCACAAATAGAAACGTGTTTTTCTCCCCTACAGGGGTGGGACAGAAGAAGGAGCCACTTTGCCTAAATTTATTGCGGCCTCATTATTCGTTTGTGAAGTTTGGTAATTGGTTCAGTGTGAAGCCCTTTAGTTTATCTAACGAGCCTCAGTCGCTTTTTCCAACCAGTCATGACCTTTGACACCATTTTCAGAGTGATTCTGCACCACTCGTCCTGAACACTTTTCCAAAGTGCATCAAAACGTGCGCGTTTTCCTTTCAAGAAGGCTCCGTTTTAAGTACCTGAATCCAAAAATAAACATCGGATTGATATCAGAGGAACTAACGAGAGTTTCTGTAGTAGGAATAATTGTTATACCCAAACTTTTTTAAAAATCCTTCGGGTAGGCTGCTATTTTGTGAGAAATAAGTTGGGTTGAGAGCTTGATCTCGGGATTTCCTACGAGTCACTTGCTGTAGGTCATTGTGAATGAATCTAGAAATGTTCTCCAACTAACGTTTAACATTTTCGCCATGCAACTTTTAGTTGGTGGATTTACCGTTTTGGCGAAAAAATGGATTTTCCGTATCAACTGTTTGGTTCAGGCGGATCTTGGGTATCCTTTCCGTGGGGGTGGAGCTCTAACCGCTTTTTCCCTCCTCTTGATTCCAACGTTTTTAAGTACATTAGAAACGTACTTTCGATCGACGATAAATCCATTTGCAGCAAATTTTCTAACAATCGCTCTCTGGCTCAATATGTCTTTGGAAAACAGTTTTATGCGTGCCTCGCACTCTGGGGGGTGCTGTAGGGGCATTTTTAACCGTAGGGAAAATCTGAATAGTGCTAAATTTTCGTTAACTATCTGGGTATGACATATGCAAATTTTGAAAATGCCGCGAGTGTGCATCACACGTCACCCCTAAAATTCAAGTGGCTCCTTCTTCTGTCCCAACCCTCTGTAATTTATTTACATACAACAAAATACTTATTAACATCTCATCGTCAGTGTATTCAACGCAATTGAGACCAACAGTCTGATGCAGTTTCATGTTCCCCTAAAAACGGGAATATTCCCGAGATTTCGATTCACTAATCCTAAGATTACCCTGGTAAGCACACAAAATTAGATTAAAAGACGATTATATATAAAAATTTGGATGTACAAGCTGGCTTCCTACATATTTTTGGAATAAAGATTTACTTGATACAGTATCAAATATTACTTTATATGCATAAATTGCCACATTTACCATCAAACCACAAACTTAGATATTTTAAGAAAATTGTTACCCTCTTAAAAATAAAGTTACACTTTTGAAAAGTGCAAGAAGTACAAAATGTTTACTCTGGGTTTAGTAAAGTGCACAGAATTCTCACAGAATCTTCTTTCCAAAAGGGTGACTGTATTTTTAGGGTATGCCTTCTTATTTTACATATTTAAATTCGCATTAAAAATTTAATATTTGCTCGTTATTTCTCGCGAAATTTATAATATTCTTGTTTACCAACAACAAAATTTTGGAACGATGCAGCCCCATTATGTATTCTGATAGTCAACAATTTATTGTATCGTTATGCCGAAACTGCATCTGACCAGTGGCCGCAGAAGGCATGGGGACATTGGGGACAGTAAAAGTGGGGAGGATTTGTATAAGATGGACGGATGAGGAGGGGACATCGAACAACTATCTATTTTTGGGGACATGTTCCCTTTGTCGCCACGCTTCCGCGGCCACTGCCCACCGCAGACAAGTTCTTGCTTCCTAGCAGACGCATTTTTTCAACGAGCTGTCTTTCCCAGATGAACAAGTGTCTGAGCAGAACCGGTGTGAAGAAATATGTGAATGTAAATGACTCGGAGGATATGGGCTAGTCAATCCTCGTGGATATTTATATACGATGGTTTATGTAAATGTCTCGGTACAACGACCACTTTTTAACTCGAAAGTTCGTAAATTTCAATTGCTTTCTTGTCTCTGAAATTTTCAAAATCTTGAGAAATTTTTAATCAGTCTACATAAATATTTACATAGTTATGAAAGTTGAATAAACTCAACTTCCATTCTCTTCCTGTGCTAAAAATCGCATATTTTCAACTTTACCTTCAAATATTTTGACAAATTTCCACCATCGCTTAAAATGCCCCAAGAAACGTTAGTTGTATTGATTTGGACCACATAATTTCAAAATTTCAACCAAATCGGAGGGTTACACTTCACACCATCGCATTGTTAGATTTGTCAAACTTGTGGACTTTTCCCTTTTCAAAGTTTCCCATTTTAGCGAGACATTTATACCGCCATGTATACGTACATACATACGAGATCAGGCAAAGATCTCGTACGAGATCAATCGGTCAAATGAATGAAAGTGAACAGGTTTGAATATTACCCTTTTTTGCCCTAATTTACAGATGTTTTCACTGGCCTGGATCGCATTAAATTGCGTGTCTGCTTTTCCCCTTGACATTCAGAAGGCTCCTCCAGCAGACTTAATTCGTGTATCAAGGAGAAACTCGGTAAATTAAATGATTTCCACCAAAAAATTAACCGGTAGCAAAGTAATATATTTTTATTGTCTGGTAGTAAATTTTTCCGGTTGATAATAAGTAAGTATCTACAAAACTCTAATCGCGGCCTGCGAAGCGCGCTATTTCAAAATATTGCTAGTTTTGTTACCATTCAATAAATAAATTAATGTCATAGCGTTTGAGTCACAAACATACACTCTTAATAATTTTTTGACAAAATTGTTACCGGCGGAGATATCATGCAATTCTACCGCGTGGTAACACTATAGTAACAAATTGTTTTCTGAGGGTAGGAAATTGCCTCCGGTATCGGTAATATTTTTATTATCTGCGCGTTGAAATTGGGGGCTGAGCAGGATTTAGCCTCTGTATATATGCTACCCATCGGTGATAAATTATTCCCCGAGCGGTAAAATTGCATAGTACCTCCGCTGGTAACAATATCGTCAAAAAATTATTGAGAGTGTACGCAAATATCTTCTCTAGCTGGAAATACTCTACATATTACCGAATTATTTGGCACATATATAAAATCTACATACATCCTTACAAAATAATATTTTCCAGGATCACGAGCAACTTCAAGGCTCCCATCTCCTCCCAGGAACTGAACCCACCAATGGAAACTTTGTAATTCGAAAGGGACGTAAATCCCGCCAGATGCCTTTCATAATCTACGGCGGGTGGTAAGCAGCCGGCACAGTATGGTTTGTGCATTAAAATTAAACCCTTTCCTGTATCTATTCCTTTCCGAGAAAGGGTATAATTAAAGGTAGTTCTTTTATAATCTGTATGCCAGAGACTAAAAGTTGCCCGAAAAGAAATTAAAAACACGTCTACACACTTCTTCAGGGGCCATCCATAAATTACGTAAAACAAGAGCGGGGAGGGGGTCTAAGGCTCCAATGATATCGCGCCTATGATACACATATTAATGGGGAGGACTAGAAAATCGAGATTTTTACGTTACGAAATTTATGGACGGCCCCTTCCCAAGAAATATCACTCATTCGAAAGAAATTATACCTCACATGAGGTTGTAACATTGTCAAATATGCTTGCAAATTTTTAACCGAGTTTTTACAACATTTTGCACCGATCTATATCCAATTAACGTGTCGCGTAGCTCTTCATACCCCGGGTTTGGGCAAGACGCTGGATTTCCGCAGTACGGCGGGAGTTCGGGGTGGGGTCAAGGACTTCGTCAAGGAACCGTACCAGCAATCGTACCAGGAACCGTAGAAAATTGTAAGCTGTACACTAACTGCGCTGCTGGCTTGGATTACTGTTATTCGAATACGGCATGCGAGAAAGAAACGGCCGCCTGTAATACGGATGACCTTACCTGTTATCTTGCTGTTGAGGAGAAATACAAAAAACTAAAACCAAAACCAGAAAGGCAATTTGGATTCCCGCCGCCGTATTGGTGGTACGGATAATTTCAGGATACCCACTCAGAATATTTTAGTAATTCATACATTTTTAAGTTATCCCAAAATACGGAGTGGCATTCTGTAATATGGGCAACTGCTTATTATTTATTTTATTACGTGAAATGTATTTAAATATGTACAATGAATAAATGCTATTGATAATAATCAACTACATAAATTTAAATATCCACCGCCCAATAATAGGACAGCATCTGTCTATTTATAAAATTTGTTCAGATTTGAAGCAATACTTGTGTGTGCACAAATGATAAAGAAATTAAAAATTTCTAAAATTTTGGTTGCTTATGTATATTTAGAGAATTGTCTTTGTTGCGTCATGGATTGTACATGAACTAATGGATATTTATTGACAATTATTTAAATAAATGACGATAAGTAAACACAAAAAATATGCGTTGCATAAACAACCCCTGTTTCCTCTTTTGTCTGGGCTACACGTGACAACTACAATTTAACAAAATGCTAAGTATTAAATCATCATCGACCGGAGTGTACATATGCACTGTAGATTGTATTATTTTAATGACTGTAAATAATTCCAATATTTATTAGCTTAGTAAGAAGACGAGTTAAATGAAATTGATAAAACAAAAATATATAAATGTCCCGACATTCCTCCAGCGACACTCGACTTGTTTTCCAAATACTTAATTCCTTTGGTAAATTCTTCCCCAGCTAGTGCACCCTGTTTCACACGCACCTTTGCTAAATTTTGCCTTCGAATCCGCTCTGCTGCACTGAATTCTTTCAAATATTTTGGCGCCCTTCCCACCACCGCGAATCCCCAGCCCACCAAAGGCTGCAGTGTGACGCCATCGCTTGCCACGGCATGCCCAATATGCCCCGCAAACAGGGTCGCGTCATACTTTACGACATCGTCGCCAAATACATCATGGACCTTAATTGGCACCTGCACTACTCCCCTGGTCAACTGAGACATTTCCAAAGTTGGCCAAAGATTTGTAAAATTTTATACTGTTCCATTCCCTACAGGACAAAAATCTCGACCAATTTCAAACGTCTCCGCTCGCCAAGACTCCACCTGCCATTTACCGTCAGCATCAAACACGCTGAATAACGTGATCCATCCGTTGATATAAGTTGTCGCACCACAACCGCCGTAAACTCGATGTTTCACAATTCCCTCCCAGAACGGGACGTTCACAATTTTCGTTTCTGTTAGGGTAATAAATTGATCCAGAACTTTGACCAGGTCTCGCGTCCAGGCCGCAATTTGGGTATCATTTTCTCGGCTAAAGGCCGGCAGTAGGGAAACTTTGTCCCTTACTTTTCGCCAATCTTGCCCACTCCCTTTCACCGTGATGGCCGGTATGCCGCAAAAAATTGTGCTCATATTGTATTCAAAGTAAGATTTCATCGTGGCCATTATTGCTGCCCCAGCAACGGCAGAATCTTGAGGGGTGGTCGTGGAGAAATTTGGGAAGAGCCAATTTGTCACGTTGGGGTGGGTGTGGTTCTTAATTTGGGTGACGATTTTGGAGATAAAGTCCTCAATCGGGATGGCCGAAACGGAACTGAGGTACGTAACACCTAGAGCCTTTTTCCCTGGAAAATTGACAAATTTGGGTCGCAACTCTTCCGCGTGGGCGTTTACGTAGTACGAATATTGGATTAGGATTGCGGTCCAAATATCGTCGGGACGAATGACGAGGTTGTGATGGTTTTTGTAGGCGAGGAAGACGGAAGATACGAAACCGGAGGAGGGAACAAGGGACGTTGACTGGTTGGTAATCGAGGTAAATTCAGAACCTGGATTTTATAAAAAAAAGTAGGTGAAATGTGTAGTAAGTTGTATTGAAATATTTTTGCTATTAAGCCTAATATTCAGAACGGATTTTTCGACAGGCTCATCGCTCTGTGTTAAATTATGCCCTTTCTGGAATTAGTTGAATTTCACTAAAAAATTGAATTAAATAGGACTTTTTTAAATAAATAAATTGAAAAATGTTACAGCTACATAAATAAGTTACTTATTCTCGTTTTTGCAAATTTTTGCAAATCCGTCTTGAGTACTACGCTTAAGAAACAAACCTCGAATGAACGTTGTATTTGCGACGTGTTGATACTGCACGAGTGGCTCAATCAAGTAAAGACCTGAGGTGATATTGGATATCGGAATTTTCTCTGGTTGTATAAATCTGGCTGAGCGAAATTTTATCGAGTGAGCTTCTTCACCTACTTTTTGCACATAATTATCCGATAATTCAGTAACTGATGCAGAAAGGATGACAGGAAACACGAAAAATAAGGGGAAAATCGTACCACAGATTTTTAAAAGTGGCGACATGTTTAAAATGTTTATGTAGATTCAATAACTTTACGAAATTTAGCAATTATTTTTTGACTTGTGGATAACAGTGCGGTTATCTACAAATAAATGAACTTATTTTCGTGGTTTATATCAATTTTATACAATTTTTATACAGAGGGGAAACGAATCACTCATTTTAATTTAGCCAGAAGAAAGATAATCTAGCGTGATTTAAGCAGGATGTGCGACTTTAGAATTTACATATTTAGCTAGAAACCCATCCATTAAAAAAATCTCATAAAGGATTTATGAAATAAAATACTTCGTGACTTCTGCACATAATGGGATGCATGCGAAATGGTTGTACAATTTTACTGAAATTTTAGTAACAAATGATTTAATTGTGGTAATTTATCATCTGATTCATGTACAAACTTATAGAGAAAATAGTGTAATAACCTTTGCGATAAATAAATAAACGCAATTTTCTAGGAATTTAGGAACCTCACAATGGAGGAGCTTCCGTGCAAATTTATTTATTTAAGTTTAATGACGCTGATTTTAAAGAAATAGTTTATTAACTACAGAAATAAATATGTTCAGGCTAATTTTATTTCATTGAATTAACCGACTCGTACATATTGGCATATCTTTTGTATACTATTTGTACTGAAAAATCGTTATTGTCCTTTTTTATCGTATAACAATTAACAATTTAAATGATTGTATTTAGTACGGCTTGACTTTAATAAAGGGTGTCCCAGATATAGATTTAATAAATTTAAAATGGTCTAATATTAAAACTACTTGCTACAAACCAACATACAAAATGTATCCTTAATCATTAATGTATGTAAGAGTTAGCATTTTTTCGACTAGGTCAACCGTCTGGGGAAAACCGGTTAAAAGAAATGTGATACAGGGAGGTTAGCAATTCTTGTATTTATATTTTTGCATAAATAAATTGAAAACTTTATTTTTACTTTTCATACATCTTGTACTCACCATTTTTCGGGGGAATTATGCACAAAATTTGGTTCCGTTATTCAGGAGATACTATAATAAATTATACTAATTGTATGTGGGTATGTACATACAAATATATTTTTGTATAAACTTTATTCCGTTACAAGCTTTCACATTAGATAGATACATAATATGTAAATAGGTACTAAATATTTATATTTTTATCTTAAAGTAATGTGATATGCATATTTAAGAGTGGACATAAATATATGCATGTACCTACATATACCTAAATATATCGCATAAAGTCGAATTTCTTTGTCATCAGCCTAATGAATGAGGATTATGAAACCGGTCGCTGATTGCGGTGAATAAATACTTACAAATCATTCCTTAGTTGAAGTGGTTTTTGCCTCGAATTTTTTCAATTTTATAGGACTCTACTTTACGGCATGGTTCGGTCATATGTACCTTGGCAGTATTTATGACGCCATTCGTCACGGATTTGTTAAGAAAATATGTGTAAATCAGTGGCAGGTTTAGTCTTGCAATAATTTTGGCCGCCGCAACCAGAGCTATTAACTCAGAACTAAAAAAAAATTAGTCAGCATGGACGACGGACCATGAACCACCTTATTTAGAGCGATCTGTGGTCCAAACCAGTATCCGAATGTGTCCCACTTTTGCCAATAAAGGATGTCGAGTCATCCTTGCATACACAAATATGCACTTTTATTGATTTTCCTTAATTGTATTGTATGTTAGCTAAAACGTGCAGGTAATCTCTCAAATCTTATAAAAACAACTACCGTAAATACTCTATTTATAGCCGGGGCTAAAATCCAAAACTGGGTATCACAGACCCGGCTAAAATTAGAGACCGGCCAGAATTAGAGACCCGGCTAAAATTTGTTCCGCCCTAATTTTAGTCATTATAAAATTGTGTATAATTAATGTTGACTCGATTTGGGTAATTTTATTTAGAAAAATATGAGACCAGTTAAATATTCGCTGTAAATCTACTTGTTTAGACGAGGTTTTGTAGTTTTTAAAAACCTGCTATCGTGGTTATGTACATTCTTATTAAGATCTTAACACATAATTCTCTAAATGTTGACCTTATTCGTTGATTAATCGAATATTCAGTATTTTTCTAGGATTGGGTATTAACGAACATATGGAACACAGCGGGCCATAATTAGAGACCCGGTCATAATTGGGGACCCGGCTATAATTAGAGACCCGGCTAAAATTTTTAAATCTTGGTCTCCAGACCCGGCTATATTTGGAGACCGGCTATAATTAGAATAGGGCTATAAATAGAGGTTTTACGGTACTTTAATACAGTTTCCATACATTTGGTAACCCTTTTTACGGTGAGGACTAGTTTGCGAGATACTCTTATGTATGTACGTGCCTTATTCCTGGGTTAATTTGGGAAGAAAAAAATTTCAAATATGATTTTCCAGTAATTTTTTTTGTCCAAATCTCGCCAATTTCCCAAAAGTTTGGAAATTATGCTGCGATGCTTAATTTGCGAAGGGTGACGTGAATACGGTCAACAAAGTTTATCATATTGCGAATAATGCGAACTATTTATGATCAAACCAGTTTTAGGAATGTACCTCAAAAACATATTTAGTTCTCCACATATGTAAAAGAGACTTGCACTCGTTTTTTCGCAACAGTCGAATTTTTCGTCTCTGATCCTGTGCATCCATCTGTAAAGGATTGCACACTTGACAAACTCGTATATTAAATATTCCTCAGAAATATTTACTTATTCAAATGGGGCAACTAAAATTGGTAAATATTGACAAATATGGGTTCGCAGAGTGGAAATTTAGTGGAAATTTGAATAATTCAAGGAATTGGATTTGAAGAATTTGACTTCATTTGCTCGCGCTTACGGGTACTGTTTATACACTCATTTTCAAGAATTTACCAAAAAATATTTTAGTAAATTTGGCCAAAGAAATTGAATTTGAAAGTACTGTTTTATTTCGAAAGTGTGTAAGCATATAAATATTTTCCTTTTTACTTTGCACTAATTTCCAGAAGATGATCTTACTCACCTGGATGGCATCCAAATTCGTGTCTTCATTTCCACTTGAAGCTGAGAACATTTCTTCCTCAAGCTTGCCGCCGTCATCAGGAAGAATCTTGGTAAACTAAATTTCCCAGAATTCACAAAATCTGTGGATTTTTAGCATAGCTACATATGCAAATTAATTCCAGGAACCGAAGCTACTTCAAAATTCCCCAGTTTTACCAAAAACCGAACAAACCGAGGGGAACCTTGACCATGGAAGGGGTCGAAAATCTCGCCAGATGCCTTTCATGATCTACGGGGGATGGTAAGTTCGAACACGAATTTCTTCACAATTTTCATGGCAGACTAAAAAGTGTCAAATCAGCTCATACTCTCCATGGTAGAACTTTTACAGAAATTTAGATTTCTCAGAAACTACGGCACTGTCAGTCTCAAATTCCCTCAAGTTATGCTTACGGGAAACTTTGCTGTGCCGTAGTTTCTGAGGAATCTCAATTTCTGTAAATATTCTACCGTGTGCGAATGGAGAATACATAAATACATATTTACATAGTTACTTATTTAAAACTAGCTAGCGTTTAAGCCCGTCTCCCGCCGGGCGAGAGTTTATTTGATTATCATGAAAATTGAGTGGGATTGTTCATAATTCCACATATTTAATTAATTTTTTATGATATTTACATATGTAATTAGCTGGAAATGTCTGTTTCGGGCCATTCGAAACTTAACTTTCTCCACTTTCACTTCCGTTTCGGAAAATTACTTTCACTTCCGTTGCAGACAAACATTTCCAGCTTATAATATAGATTACCAGCGATAATTTCATAATTTCTGCCCATAAGTGGACTACCTGCGATTTTACCCGATCCACCCCTAACTACCAGGGATGGGCAAAATACAGCATTTTGATTTCCGTTCTACATAGTTACAAATATTTATTCATCGTTTTAATTTCCGCGGCTGGTACACCCACAAAGCACGAAAATCTAAATTGAGAAAACAAGTCCTACGAAAATGCAGGTTTTTTTAAAGAAATTAACTTTTTATCGCTGTTAAACTACGTTATTTTTAGAAAATGGAAAAACCAAAGTACTTTGACAGCGAGCAAGACTTAATTACTTCGAAAAACCTTCATTTCGACTGGCTGTCTCTTTCTCAACCTAGATTCTCGCCTTTTTTGGTGGGTGTAACAGCCCTGCCACTGCAAACCCTACGTACGACCCTAGGCTTTGCTAAAATCCTGTATTTTGGACAAAGTAATTTGCCCAGCCCTAATTAATTACCGCTCTGCTTACTATTCAACAGTTCACCATACACCGGCCTTGGGCAAGGCGGCGGGATTCCACAGTTCGGCGGGGGTTTTTCCCAATTCGACAGTGGTTTCGGGTGGGGTCAAGGGCTTCGAGCCAAACCAACCAGCCTGGCCTGGTGCAAGCAGGACAATGACTGCACCTCACTCTTGGCTCCTTGCAACGGGAATCTAGACTGCGAGAAGGAATTGATCCTCTGCGATCGACAGGATATCAAGTGTCACGACAAGGTTGACAATAAATACCAAAAACAGAGGTTCTACGGATTCCCGCCGCCGTATTGGTATCAAGGATAAAATTACATGAACAATTCTTCCTGTAAAGGGTGTTGATTAAATTCGGCCCGATTAATTTGTTGAAACCGATATAAATTTGTGAAAATTACGGCGAAATAAAAAACGAAAAGTTAAGGGCAAGATTTAGTATATTTATTTAAATTGCACAAAGATTAGTTAACAATGGATCTCTTGAAAAAAATCTTGACTTGGAAGTTTCCACCGTTTTTGAGGTGCAGGTTTTCAAATGTTGACACGAGAAAGGGGGACGAATTACTGAGGGTTAGGCAAGATTATAGAACGTGTCAAAAACTATTAATCTTTGGGCGAAATATTCGCTGCTGGGTATTTTGAATGATTTCATCGTATTCCTCATCCTTTTTTCATGAGGAATAAAGTTATCAATTCCAAAAAGCAGGGCTTTTAACGCCGGCAGCAGATTTTCTGTGAACCACTGTTCATCTAAAAGTTTGCAAAATGCATAAAAATATTTTATGTCCATTTGAAAAAAGTGTCGATCTGAAGTTTCAAATTAGAATTAAAGCACTGAAGGCGCATAACCGGACGTAACTAGTTTATCTTTATGCAAAATAATTTAAATTCCGAATATTAAAAAAAGAACGGCTGCGTACTGGGCGGTAATCCGAGCGCTGTCAGAAAAAAAGTTTCGTGTCCACCTCATAGATATCTCATAGATTCTCGCTGAAGTTGTGCATATCTTGATGATTAATTCAGTTCAGTGTACGCCCAGGGACCTGACACTTCGTGGCCAGTTGATTTTGTGTTGATAAAAAAATTATTGCCTTCTCCACGTAAATTTTTCTCACGAGCGTCGGATTGCTTACAGTTCGGGGAGCATGCGTTCAACGGGTGTAGCGCCGTCAAATTTCTAGCCTGGTTCCTTTTTTCGACTGAATCCTTTATATTAGACATTGGGCCATTAGAAATGATAATTTTTCATCCTGGAGTTGGTTTAGTATTTTTCTGTACATCATTATTGCTTGGCAAACTGTTTTAACAGCATGGAGCTCTTTGGGGTTCATTTTTGGATTCGTTTACAAACTTTCGAAATTGAGCTTTTGGGTCACGGCGCAGCTTGAACCAAGCTTCCAGAAAAGTTTCAAATATTTGGAATTAGCGCCATTGTTTAGCGTATATGGGAGTGACAATAATGAAAACCGGAATCACTTCACACCTTTAAAATTTTGATTTCGATAAAATTCTTAGCGTTGGTATGGCTGATTTTTATGAGTCCAACGGTCAAAGTCCGGTGTTTCTACTCCACCCCCTCGCCGAGTGGGAGGAGCTCAAAGTTGGAAAAACTGAGATTTTCTGCGATTTTTAGCTTAAAGGCGGGCCAATATTTTTGAAAACGGTTGTCACCAAAAGTTTCCTAATTTTTATCTCTACAACCCTTTTCGAGCGTTTTTTGAAATTCTCAAAACGGACGTTTCGATTTTGGAGTAAAATTAGGGAAAGGTCAAGTCTCACATAACCCCATAATTGGGGTCATATGAGACACCATTGGAAAGCTCTCAGCGCGAGGGTTAAGAATATATATACTTTGTCAGGTGTATGACCAATCACTGCTGTTCTAGAGACAAAAGTATTTTGAGCTTGTCCCTATTCCATTGCCATGTTAGCTCCCAATCTTCCGCTGTGTTAAATTTTGGAACATTTCAGATTCTCGTTCTCATGCACATATCAGACCTGTTGGACCCCGAACCATGACATTTCGTCATTTTATGATGTTTAGCATAAATTAGGATGGTTTCTGAACAAATTCGCGTCGTTTAAAAAAAGTCGAAAATCCTGAGAAAAAACTTGAACCTGGAAAATCCAAAACCCTGACGTCCGTTTTGAGAATTTCAAAAAACGCTCGAAAAGGGTTGTAGATATAAAGATTAGGAAACTTTTGGTGAAAACTATTTTCAAAAATATTGACCCGTCATTAAACTAAAAATCGCAGACTAGAGCGATTTTTCCAACTTTGAGCTCCTCCCACTCCCCCAGGGGGTGGAGTTGAAACACGGGACTTGGATCGCTGAACTCGTAAAAATCAGCTCTACAAACGCTGAGAATCTTATCCAAATCAAAATTGTAAGGGTGTGAAGTGATTCCGGTTTTCATTATTGTCACTCATGGGCAAATAGCTACACGTTCTATAATCTTGCCTAACCCTCAGTAAATCAACACGCTTTATTTTGGTCAAAGAAAAGTTTCACAATCGCCAAAATAACTTGACAAAATACGGATTTAATACATATTGGTCAAGTGCGTAATATTTATTTTATTTGATTACGGAATATCTTTAAATTAAGAAATGCTGCCGATTAAAATCTGCTAAATTTACATAGAGATCCCGTACTATATAGTGGCGATGGAGAACTTTGACCTAAAAATGGTCAAAAAATGATTCTTGAAATCTCAAATTTTGGTATAATATGTCAAATATATCTGACCACGTGTCCTCAAAATTTCATAACTTTTCCTTGAAAAATAAATTTCCTACGCCATTTCAAAGAGAGAAAGTCGGGAAACGAATTTTTTATAAGTACCAAAATGTGAGCGACAGCGACTCGAAGAAGGCTTTACTACATTTCAACGGAGAGAGGTGTGGTCGTGAAAAAATTTGGACATACATAAAAAAGTATTGCGAATCCGAAAATATCAACTTCAAATACGCACCACAAGAAAAAAACATCATATTGACCTCTTGAAAATGAAAAACGATTAAATTTATTTTTGGAAAGTACCGCTCCACGTTTGTGCCTGATGCGGCCACGAAGTCGAAGATTAATCCAAACTATGTGCATCATATGAGGGCTCATAAGTTGTGGATCAAAGCGTATTCAAAGAAATCTGCAGCAAAGCATACGGAAGGTCAAGAAAAAATGGTGAACGCAAGCCCTCCCAAGCCTTACAACAAAGTTTCACCAAAATAGTTGGCCATTGGCGACGAGTCTCACGTCTTCAAAAACGTGACAGAAACTCCGGGAAGGCAATTTTTTGTGGGAAATATATCTCTCAACTGAAAACCGAAAAGAAACTAAAAGGTTTTTCGAGATTTCTCAAGAAATTTCAGGTTTGGCAAGCGTTGGGTAAATTTGGGCAAGTTTCGGACTCTTCACTTCAATAGGGCTGTGTGGAGGCACATGTTTGTTTTCCGAAATGTGAGATAGACCGTCTGATTCCTTTCATCCATGAGTATCAGAAAATATAAAATGTAATTTTTTGGACCGACCTTAGACTAATCCACAATGCAATGACTATCAAAGGAAGGGATCGAAAAAAATTCAGTTTGACGTTGAAAAATGAAAACCTCACATTCACCACTTATTATAGCTCAATAAAAAAAATTAGGCTATATGTAACAAGGCATACTCCCAGCTTTGTGAAACAGTCGAAACTTAAAGAAAATTTCGATTCAGGTGGGAGATAATTGCCCATTAAGTTGAAAAGTCTTCCGAAACAGCAGTAATGGCGGGCGTGATGAAAAATGTTAAATACGAGATGGACAATGGATTTCAGGCTTCTTTCTTCGCGGATGTGGGTAGTCAGATATATTTAGGATATCATACCAAAATTTCAGATTTCAAGAATCATTTTTTGACCATTTTTAGGTCAAAGTTTCCCATCGCCACTATATAGTACGGGATCTCTAGGTATCCTAACACCAATTAAAGTACGCATGAAATACATATGTGCAAAATTTGAAAGTAAATAAGCTTTTTACAGTAAGCAAAAATTTAAATTGTACCCTTTTCTGGTACGTTATAAATCCATGGTTTTCTACTTGATGGAAACCGATTATTATTATGTAATACATCAGTCTTGTAGTAAATTTAACGTAGATTCCAAAAATGACACGCATTTTTTCGTTTTCCGTGATGATAATGAACCACTAAATAAAAAGTTAGGGAAAATTGAAAATCCATGCAAAAAATTAAATCGTACCCTTGTGGGTTTTTGATGCAAATTGTGTCTAATAATTAGTTAGCACTTTGAAACGGTATACTTCGATTACAGTTTCTATACGCCGCGACATGAATTACACTAATTCTTTGTCACTTCCGGTCAGACGGTTACCCACACTTCGCTTAAAATAACTTGCAAGTCATGTTTGGGCTTCAATTTTCGGTTCGAAATCCTCCTCGCCAATTATGCCCATAAATTTTCGATGGAATTGAGGTTAGTAGATCAGGCAACCCATAGAAGAGAATTAATTCGCTTTTACTTGAGGTACCGATTAATAAACTTCGCGTATTTTTGGGACCCGCGTAGAAGTGCAAAATTATTTTCGTCACGAGTCTCAATTTGTTCGATCAGCGGACTTGGTTTTAATTATAGCCGGTCTCAAAATCTAGCCGGGTCTAGAGACCAATATTTCAAAATTTAGCTGGGTCTCTAATTTTAGCCGGGTCCGTGACCCTCAGTTTTTGGATTTTAGCCCCGGCTATAAATAGAGGTTCTACGGTAATTGTTATTCATCTTCTCCGTATCATCACGACTTGGCAATTAATCCAGCCGCCACGAAATACAGGATTCCATCAATTGCCGCCCAACTCTGGGAAACAAAAGTTGGATTAAGGAACGATTTATTTTTTAACTGTCTCAACTTACCCCTGCTGCCAACTTATTGTAATATTTCAACTGTTTCCTCATCTCCTGTTTAAGATCATCTTGGAAAGATTTTTCCATTTGTGGGGAGGTCAAAGCGGACAAAATTTTAGATTTGGCGGTGGAACTGGATGCGGGGCTCTCAAAACCAAAAAGGTCCAAGCCATCCATGATGTATTCATCAATCTTTACTGCCGCGACGACCATGAGAATTCCCGCGATTAGGAGAAGTACCCCTGCCAAAGCGTGGTATCCGGCGTCCTAAATAATTTACAGGCTAAATAAACCTTTGTAGAGTTTACTCAAAGGTACGTAAAATAAATGGCGATATGCGCAAAAATTGGATAAAAAGTATTTGCCCCACGTTGGACAAATTTTACACGAGTGTTTACAGCAGAGGTCGACGCCGAGGAATTATCGGCGGCGGCGGCCCCAGTTGTTTGTGATTTTTCGGCGGCGCGGCGTCGCCATGTTGAAGGTATAGGAAATCAAATTTTTCGACGGCGGCGGCGCATAAAATACGGCGTCGGCGGCGTCGACCTCTGGTTTACCCTTGTCTTATCGTCTATTTATTTACTCAATCTCGAGTTTGTTTGACAAAATTTATTTGTTAGTGTATATTTTGTTGCGACATACTGAACACATAATAGACAGCAAACGAGGCAAACGATGAATTACTGCATGTACCTCGAATGGTAAATAATATCGTTCATTTTTTTAAATATCTGTCCAGATGCCGCCACCTCAATAAATTTCCTTACCGGCCTCTTATATTTTTGCATATCGACGGCCATTAAACTGATCGTGGACAAAATGAGACAAGTAATGGTCACGTAGACGAACACTGTTTCCATCGTCATGGGGGACGAAGGGCACGCAGCTTCTGCCTTGCACAGCTCCGGACTTCAAGTTAGACAATTTATTAAGCTGCTTCAGCTATTTTATGCGAAAAGTTTGTTTGTCCGTCCATCAAACCAGGACCAAACTATAATTTGTTACTTACCCAAGTAACCCCTTTCATCAAAATTGGTCCCTTTCCCATTTTTAAAAATAAAATATTCCTTCACAACTTTAGCAAAAAGCTTGTGAAATCTGGACAGGAGTAATAATTTATTAATTGTAGAGAACTTGTAAATTAGTACAAAGCTAAAACGAAACTGAATTCTCGACCGGTTAAGAGATTCACTTATAAATCTAAGCCTCACCACGTTATCTGTCCCTGATAACCTCTAACTCAAATGATTCCATTAATTGTATTGTCCAACGGAGTAGATATTTGACAAGTTTTAAAATGTAACCTTTCCAACTTTCCTATTACGCACGCAGTGGCCGAGGAAGCGTGTGGACAAAGAGACATGTCCTCAAAGCTATTTAATGTCCGCATCGTCTGCCCACATCTGTTATATGACCCCTCCCAGCCCTATCCTAGTACAATGTTAATGTCCCAGTGACTTCCGCGGCCACTGTAAATACTTACGCACGACTCAAACTACACAGCTTAAATGAATTTATATATCATGCATCCAGTTTCTTGTCGCTGCCTGCTGTCGCCGACAGGATTTTCATACTCGTATGAACAAATCAATGCTAAGAATGGACGTGAGTACCTGTGTTTGTCGGTTCAATTTGAACGTGTGCACTCGAACTAGGTTTGAGCATGGGGCAAAATGAGACTCAACTCAAGGCCATTGTAAATTTAGAAAGCATAGGCGCCCCCCGTTAACCTTCAATGATTGGGGAATTATGGGATTGTCGATTTTAGCATATTCATCATATGTGGTACTATATAAATTCGCCTGTATTTTTAACTTTGAATCTAGTACTGTTAACCATTTGAGGGTAACGGGATGTATAGGGTTAAGAAGATGGAAACAGGTTAAACGAAAGTTAACGGGAAGCATGGAAGTTAATAGAGAATTTGGAAGTATTTAATTTGATTCTGGATGTCCACTAGACGGGCCCTGCAGCCTATATAGTAATACACAAATAGTGCAACCTAATTAAGTTTGTCGCTACATACCCATTGCTCAGACTAATGCGACAAAGGATGTAGCAATAAATTGATAAGATATGGAGACCACAATTCTGTCGATAGCTTAACTGCTACAATTTGTATTAGTCCAGAAAGACAAAAAAACATGATTGACGTTACTTTCACAATTACCCAAAACATTAACCTCACCATCATCAGTGGCCGCGGAACGTGTTGGGACACCTGGGAGAAATTTCGATGGAGAATCGTGGGATATACATTTATTACAGGACCGGTTGAGGCGGACATCGAACAACAGTGGGGACATTGTCCGCGGCCACTGCTCACCATTGACACGAATATCTTTGACACTCGCAAATTTATCAGGTTGAACTTTTTCCCTGAAAATTGCATTTTGCGTCATATCGTTGACGTGGATTCTGTCAAAGATTCACACAAGTTGGAGTCAACTCCACAAAATATATGAATAAAATTAATAATCGACACGTATGTGTTGCATGATCTTCATTATCGGTATTTTTATTTTTATCCGAGGTACATAACCTTTACTAATTACTGTGTGGAGGTGCATAAACATTTTGTTGTCCGTAGTTTAGTTTCTCCTAAAGGGGTCATGCAAGGATGAATTTAAATATGAGCCAATTTGGGTTACGTGCGTCCATAAATTATGTAACGGGTGAGATAAGGAGGGGGTCTAGAAAATCGCCATTTTTGCGTTACATAATGTATGAACGGTCGCTTACTCTCGTATAAGCCTCGTTAAATAATTTATTTAAATGTGTATCCTTACATACACAAATTTATTTTTACAAAATTTTACATCCGAAATTCATAAATTATGAATTTAATAATTTAAGAATATCAATAATATTTATTTTATTTATTTACTAGCGTATAAGCCCGTCTCCCGAGGGGCGAGAGGTTATTTAATTTTCATGCTACTGGAATTCAGACTGCATAATTCCACCGAATTTAATTCTTTTTAGTGTATCTATATTATTAATTGGAAATATCTGTTGGGAAGGGAGGCAAAAGTAAACGTCCCGCAGCGGAAACGAAAGTGTTCAAATTGCTTTTGCTTCCGTTGTGGACAGACATTTCCAGTTTATAATATTGATGATTTGCATAACTAATTTGCTGGTTCCGTGTCCTTGTGCAGTCACCGTTCATATGCTTCCCGACCGCATAAATGCTTCCAAGCAGTCTGCCTTCTCGGTCGCAATTTGCTCGCGGACAGCGATACCCGCGCAAAACCTCGGACCCATCCGGCCCCACGGAAAAGGCGCACATGTCGCGGTGGGCGACTTTGTAGTGGACCGCGCTCCGCCAACCGAGGGGGCAGTAGTCGCACGGGGGCAAAGCATAGTCGGATGGGTTGACCGGCCTTTTGCGTCTGTACCCTGACGGCGTGCCGCGCGGGAAGGGAGGAAGGAGTCCGGCGGGTGGAATGTTGCGGTGTGAAGTCACCGGTCCGCCTAATAAGCAAGAATGCATATTAGTAAAAAAATAAGGTTCCGGATTTATACACTCAAAATAAGGTAGTAATGAATCATTACCATGCGGAATCACTATGTGGCTCTACCACGTCGGTTACGATTTGCCGTAGAAATGGTAATAATAAGTTCAGGGAAATTCAAATTTAATACATAATGGTATTCACTTCCTTAATATTTGGTAATGAATTTGAATTTCCCTGAAATTATTATTACCATTTCTACGACAAATCGTAACCGACGTGGTAGAGCCACATAGTCATTCCGCAAGGTAATGATTCATTACTACCTTATTTTGAGTGTACGCTAATTCGCAGAGGTGGGAAAAATACTGTATTTCGCCCTCCAATTTTCCCAGGGCAGTTACACCCACAATAAGACGAGAATTTAACATGGGAAAAACATCAGTTATGCGAAAAGACGATTTTTTTTTACTCAAGAAATTATCTCCTATTCCTCCTCATAATATTTTACTTTATAAAAAACTCGAAGTTGTTTGACAGCTACGCATATTAAGTAAATTTCGAATTTTTGAACACGTATTTTTCACTAAAGGTTTGCAGATTTTCCTCTTTTTGTGGGTGGATCAGCCCTGGAAATCCAATGCCTGGGTGCTCCAAATACTTGCCCCATTAGCTAATTTTACGCCTTTCTTACCGTATCGGATGCTTTCAACTTTTCCATTTTTGGACACCCTTGGCCGCGAAGGTGTCGTTGTGTGGGGGAAATCAGGCGGCTCCATCTTGACCTGGACGGGGGCCGTGGAAATTGGGGGGTCGTCGTGGTCCAGACTTTCGACTTTCACGCCTGCATTGACGATGTTCCCCTCCCGTTCCGAGGTCAGATTGGTCCCCCTCTCGTCCCCTGTGGTGGTGTTTGTCGGGGATGGAGAATGATCGTCCGTTGTGACAGCATCCTCCGTCACGACGGCTTCTGTTTTTATGAGGTGGAGGAGTTTATGCTTTTCAAATTCTTTGAAATCCGACCCTGTGCAGGAATATTTTACTCATTAATTAATTATTCAGTGAGCGTACTCACGTCAACCTTCGCATATCTCGCAAATTGAGCATAGCAACATAACTTGCGAAGTTTTGCGAGATATGCGAGATTTCGCAAAAATTTTTCTGAAAAACCATGGGATTTTTTTTTCGCAAATTTACCCAGCAATTGGGCATGTTCTTATTTCGCAAAATTACTTCGCAAACTCATCTTCATCATCGCCAGCGAGAGAAATTAAAGAAATCCATGGAAAGAATGCCAAAATTCGTGTTTTTCAGTAGATTTGCGAGATTAGAGAGATTTGCGAAAGTCATATTTTGCGAATCCCCTCACGACAGAAATATTTTGATTTTCGCAAGTTTGCTAAATGAGTTGCGATGCGAAATAAGACGTTGTCGTGAGTACGCCCATCATTTCGAAACAATTCGCACAAACCTTGCCTTGGTAAATTTGTAAAATCCGAAAATTCCGTAGACATAAGTAAAGTACAAAATTCAATTTTCAAAATTGTACTCAAATTTTGAAGGAAGGCTACCTCCCAATTGTTTTAAACTTCTCTCCGCTCAAGGGCGTCTTTTTGTTTTGCACAAGTTTGTAAAATTATGTACAAAATGTACGGAATTTGCAAAGTTGCCAGTGACTACGTACATATGTTACCTTGCTACATATATAGGACATGGGGGCCGTTCATAAATTATGTGACGCAAAAATCGACTTTTTTCAAACCCCTCCCCCCCCTTCGTCACACTAGTGTAACGCAAGAGCACTACCCCCCCTCCCCCTCTGTAACGTAACGCAAATCTCATTTTTCCCAGAAAAAATGAAACACCCAAAAGGAACTTACAAAAAGTATATGTTACGTGTGATCCCAATTTCTTTGTTGGTTAGGATTTGATTGACGTTTTGCTTTAGTTTCTGTTCTATTTTGTTTTAATTCAAAATTTAATTCAAAATTTTCCTTCCTTAGCTTTTTAGGAAGAAATTGTGATCTAAAATTCGATTTGATACCTTTTTTAAGTTCAAAATATATATTTTTTTAAAGTATTGCTCATGTAAATTTCACTGAAAAATCTTCAGTGAAGACTAACGGTGGTGAACTAATTTTAAGTAGGTTCTCCTCAAGGGAACCTCAGCTTAAGGTGGCATTTTATACGGGTTTTGAAATGCCCAAGTTTGTGTCTGAAGTTGCCCGTCTTCCATATATCCAAATGGTGATTTTGAAACATGTTAATCTCTGTACGTTTTTTAAATGAATATTTAATTACACCAAAAATTAGAGAAGGTTTGCAAAGTTAGGTTAGAATGTTGATTTTTCCTTCCATCAGAAAATATCTAACTGTTGCTTCTTAATTTGTGTTTACTTTATTCCTGTTTTCTCTTGGAAGAAAATGTCAACATTCTATTCTAGGAAATCTAAAAATTATCGACTTTTGCGTGCAATTAAATCTTTACTTTAAAAAAGCCACGTAGATGAACAGCTTTCAAAATCGCAATTCGAGTACATGGAAGAATGAAACTTGAGACACAAGAATTCAACTTCAAAACAGACATGCAATGGAACGTTTAAGAGACCTGCAACTTCAAAACTTCAATACTTGGACAAGTTCGACAACACGGAGGGCTCTAATTTTTTTAAATTTTCAAACCACGGGATAATTTTTTTACACCATTACTGATTTCAATCTATTTTAGTTTGCGTGACGTAACGCAGGACTTTGACCCCCCTCCCCCTCGTCACATCTTGTAACGCAACTCTCAGACCCCTCCCCCCCCCTCTCGCGTTACATAATTTATGAACGGTCCCATAGTACTAAACGAAACGGGTATTTCTGCATTATGTAAAGATTGTAATTAATTAATCCAAATTAAAGCAAGTATCTAACCAACCTAACTTACAAAATGGGCAAGTAGCACGATTTGAAAAATGAGAACTTTTGCTTAATTTAAATTCTTTAGCAACTAACGTTTTCATTACCAAATTTCAGCTCGATGTATTCCTTCAAAATGTTGAGTTGTTGGGACAACTTTTCCACGTGTTGGGGTACCGAATCCATGTGTGAAGTAGTTTTGGTATAACCAGTAATTAACTAATTGTGGGGAACGGTTTTTGCTAGAAAATATTTTGCACGATTATGTGTGGATGATTTTGAGCAGATGATCGAGTTTTGTTGTGAAAGGAGAAAACCGGGTCGTGCGGGAGGAATGAGGGTTCGATTTCTGCTTTTTTCATGGAAAACGGGGGGAAAAAAGTGGCCGGCCAAGTGGAGGGCCGTACATAAAGCATATCATCGATTTTAGGGGAATTTTGTCCACTACCCGGCTGTGTGAATTATGTCCCCCAAGTTATAATTAACATGGGAAGGACAGGATGCCTTGACCCCCATTTACCCCCATCAAATCGATCACTTGCTTTCTGCACGGTCCTTAGTAGACAGATGCCTCCTAAACCATGTTAAAGGCAACGGTGGTGGTGGTGGTTAAATTAGCAGATCATCGCGTTTCGGGTACACAGGCTGTGCATAGGTAATGAGACACAAGCGGATCCGCCCCTGTCTCAAAATGTGTAGTGCAATGTACAATTTCCTGCACATTTTATGTATGTACTATATTTACGAAATTCTCTGAAATATGCATGTACATACATATCTATGTAAATATGTAATATTTACGAAAAAACTATTTACGAAATATTTACGAAAATAACATAAACACGAAATTTGTTGCGAAATTTGTATTTTTAAATAAAGTGTTTTGGATTATTAAGTATAACTTTTGTGATGTAATAAAACAGTTGTAAATACTACTGACTCAGAATTACTTCACCAAAAATTTGATTCCCGCTTCGTATCCCTACCATACTAATAGCATGGGAAGGATACCAGCGCGGGATGGAAAAGAAAAACTGAGTTGATATTAAATAAGTATCCGTCTTTCACTTTAACTTGACGTATGCACTGACTAAATTACAATTAATCATCTTGTGACTATGTGAGCAATGCTTAAGAAGAAGGTGTCACATGAAGAATTAACCGTCAGGGACAGTGTGTTTAAGATTGTGGTCAAGGTCAAGAAAAAATGGTCAAACCAAGACTTCCCAAGCTCTACAGCAAAATTTAACCAAAAAAGTTGGACATTCGCCACGATTACTACGTCGTTAATAACGTGACAGAAATTCCGTGGAGGTAATTTTTTCATGGGAAATGTATATCTAAAGTGAAAACAGACGAAGAATTAAAATGTTGTTAAAAATTTCTCAAGAAATTCTCAATTTTTCTGGCATTGGGCCAAATTAGGCACGTTTGTGACCCTTAAGTTCACATGGACTGTGTGAGAACACATGTTTGTTTCCAGAAATGTATGTATGATAGACCGTCTGATTCCTTTCATAATGAGGTATCATAAAATACAAAATGTAATTTTTTGGACCCATCTTGGACCATTCCACTATGCAAAAACTATCATGGAAGAAATTGAAAAAAAATCAGTTTGATGTTGAAAAATGAAAACCTCACATTCAACCCTTATCTTCGCGCAATAAGAAAAATGTGAGCCATATGTAAGAAGACATACTCCCAGCTTTGTGAAACAGTTGATACTTTAAGAAAATTTTGATTCAGGTAGGAGATAATTAGCAATGAAGTTGCAAAGTCTTCCGAAAATGTAGGAATGGCATGCGTTAAGAGGAACCTTCAATACGAGGTTGACTATGGACTTACATAGGTCTTATTCGTTCCGGAAATTGGACGCTAGTTATATTTATAATATTCTACAAAAATTTGAGATTTTTAAAGACCATTTTCTGGCCATAATTCCTAGTGATCGGGTTCCCATAGGACCCGCTCTAAATACCTTCTCCACATATTATAACAAAATGGGTTGATTTATATAACGAACAAAGCATGCATGATTGATACATATGTAAGAACACATATTTATAAAGTGGATTGTTCAAATTTCAAACTAACTCATACAAGCTTTGTATAAATTACGCAGTAAAAATTTCGCTTCGTATAGTGATGATTAACGATAATCATACAAAGTAATGTTAATCGTATTTAGTAGAAATATGCAAAGGTTTGAGATCCTGACAAATAGTCAGAAGAGAAAGTCGGTAGGGGCAAAAATCGAGTACTCCTACTTATGTATGTACGTCATAGATCTTTATAATCTACATACATACGTAGATAAATAATGAGAAGGTCGTAGTATAAGTAATGATAGATATTCAGTGGTGAATTTCTGTTGATAATCACATTATTAACTTAACCACTGGTTGAAGGGAATTGCTGGATATTTTGAATATTCCTCAAGACCTCTAACCTACATATATGTATTAATATTTAACCATTTTTCGACTTATTTATTTTCAACTCATACATTTTCCTGCAAGCCCTCAAAGACAAAAAAATCGAAAAATGTTAGCACAGAATTTTAATCTGTGTAAATAAATATGTATTTTATCAGTAATTTGACTTTGAAAACTTGTCAGTTTTCAGTCATCGATGTTAATGAAATTCCCCCAAATTTTGAAATTTTGAAATTATAAAAACTAAATTAGCTCATTTAAATTAGATCTTTCAACTCAGAAGCAGTTTTGGACACCCAAAGACAATAATATTTGCCAAAATTTGAAAAGTGACACTAGACTAAAACATCTTTTTAGCTTTACCTGATCATGTAGTTTTCTAAGTAACCGGAAGTTTCATATGTATTTTTCTAGTTAATTCCTCATAGTTTGAAGTTACCGAAAGAAGCAATTATTGCAAGATCCCCAAAAGGCACCCTCGTTTTTATAATGATAGCAATATACAAATCGTTTTAATACTCGGCATTAGCGTGGAAGGTTTAAATTGCTTTAAAACCGTGTGGGCGAAAAATGCATTCAACGTAGATACCACGTTAAAAATTCGATCATAGGGGCGCCATCGCGATCTTGCCCCGGGAGCAAATTTGCAAGATCGGGGGCTGGATGTCATTATAATGCAAGTATTCCTGTTTAATGAACGAGTCTGTAGGATAATATCCGCGCGAAATTTGAACCCTATGTCTACAGTGTGTCCACTTAAAAACGAGTCCACTTTTGGGGGGGGGTAATAAAAGTGATTTTATTTGTACTAAAATTTTTTTTAACATAAATCCTTTTGGTATACAATACCTTAGTATTTAGTGATGCCTCCACACGCAATTTGCATATCTCTAATTCGTTTAGGGAAACTCTGCGTCAGATTTTCCAAAACGGTAACCGAAATTTCCTTCCATTTTTTTTGGAAGCGTCGAATTAAAGAAGAACGGGTTCGTGGAATTGGCTGCTCATACGCGCTATTCTTGAGATAGGGCCACAGATTCTCGATTGGGTTCAAGTCCGGGCTATTTCCTGGCCAAGTCCCCTTCCCCCAGACTGTTGAAATGTGCTCCCCTAGGAGGCGCATGCTCTCTTTTGCAGTGTGAGCTGGTGCCCCATCCTGCATGAAAGTTATTTTTTTCTTACTTGGAAAAAGTAGCTTATTGTCCATGGCTTCGAAGTAAGTAGGAAGAATTTTGTCACGGTAATAGGCTCCGTTTACATTTTGACCACTCGGAATGATGTGCAAACGAGAGACGCCCCTCGAACAGTACCTAGCAGCAACCATAATCTGAAGACTTTTTTTCGGTGTAGATGTTGCTGGAACCTCCGTTCTTTTTTCTGTCCTGTACCTTGTGTTCTGAGGATTCCCCCGAGGGTGAAGATAAATCCAAGTTTCATCGGTAAATAGTATATGTCGACGTTTTTCTTCACCCCTTTCACCCTCTGTCAAATAGCCGTTTTCGTCCAAAAAGTTACCAAACTTTAACCTATCTTCAATATTTTTGGCAGACAAAAGTGGTTTTTTAGATCTCTTGAAAGCTTTATTTCCCCATGTGGTGGTTTTTAGATGATTTTGAATGGTAGATTTGCTAATCTTTTTATCCATCCGTTTGAATCGATTTGTGAGATTGATGGCGGCCGCACATTTTCGAGTGGAACTGCCAGTTTTTCGGTACATTCTAGTTTTAATCATATTTTTAGTGGTAGGTGACAGTATGGTGGGTTGTCCAGGCCTTTTTTTGTCAGCTGTTGACTCTCGGTTTTTCCAACGCTGGACAGTACTTCTTGCAACTTTGATTTTTTCGGAAATTTCTCTCTCGGAGTATCCCTCCTCCAATAGTGTTTGAATTTCTATTCTTTTCCGTATTCTGTTATATAAATACTTGGTATACATTTTGTAAAAAAATCACCTGTGTAAATAAACAAAGAAAAAAGTTATGCCAATTTGTATTACCTAGTGCTCATGGTAGTTTGGTGGACTCGTTTTTAAGTGGACACACTGTACAACCACAGTGAATTAATGGAAATGTATATTGTTGTTCCAGCTTGTCCCAAGGAAGAGAATGGAACTCGGATAACTGAAAAGATCAACAAGATCTTCACAACAATCCTAAAATTTTACAAGCTTTTAGCAATTGGATTAACAGTACTTACAGTCGTTTATAAATTCGACCCCTTGTACTACATTTTCAAGCAAATACTAATTCACCTGGACATCCGCTAGTCATATTCCTTCGTACTACATCTGTACTTGCAATTTGTACGGAAACATGTCGTTCCATCGTGGTCCTTTTTTGTTTTGCCCTATTGGCCATTAACTCTACAAGAAGGGAAATGTATATGTTGAGAAGCATTTCGAAAAAGAGCAATGTTGCCGGGTTTCAGTTTTATCAAAGATTTGGAGTACTTTATGCCAGTCGGCGAATCCCGGTGGGCGGCATGGTGACCTTCTTATTCGTACTTGGCTTTATCTTACAGGTAGCTTAATCAAAAAGAAAATTAGTGTGAATTACTTAATACTAATTAATTATTATAACCACATTATTATAAATAGGTGATATTCAACTACGGAACAATTGAATTATTCAATTTCCTACCCCTCGAGGTGTACTGGTCTATTCCTCTCGTCGCCATAATTATGGCAGTCTTTTTCCAACAATTAGTTCAGAAAGTGGCACAAATCTATGAAGATTTCAAGGATATTTTACATCTCATGTGTCGGAAAGGTAGGTCAAGAAAGGGACTACGGTATAGAAGCTTGATGAGTGCATCCATTCTAGGGCTTCGAGTAATACTCCCGGGTGGTTGTTCCAATGCGGTGAAGCGTGGTTTCAAATTTAAGTATTTATATTATGTAATGGATCGTACTG